TCTTGCAATATCCTGTATGGCCTTTTGTTCCCTTTATACTTCTTCTGTGAGGTATGACATCCTAAGATTTTGCTCTAATTCAGTGATCTCTCTGCTAAATCTATCTTTCCTCTGTTGTAGCATGTTTGTGTTTTTAAGAAGTTCAGTAACCTGTTTTCTTCTTCTGTACCATCTCCTACGCTCTCTCTCTATATCTGATCTTCCTCTGGGTTTCCTCAATGGTACATGTTTCATACATACTTTGTAATGTTTTCATGTATTCAGCTTCTCTAAGGCACTGGTGTGAGTTTAGGTTCGCTCATGGTCGATTTCCCAGGGTATGTCTGATAGCTCTTGGTTTATTTTTTCCCAGTTAATTCTATGGTTGTTAAAATTAAACTTACTGAACATCCCATTCTCTAACTTTATGATGCAGTTTCCTACCCCTGAGTTAATACTAGTTTGAATCCTCTATGATGTTACGATCAGAGTAAATAGTTTTGGAAACTGTATGTCTCTGATCAGTTTCTCGTTGTTTGTGAATATCAAATCCAGGGTTATTTCAATTTCTAGTTGGGATCAATTACACTGCTGGTTTAAAGAGTACTTTTCCTAGACCTCATTATTTTCCTGTATGTACCTGTTGAGCCAGGGTGCTTCCGGGGATTATTTTCTGGTATAACATTAACGTTGTGCCATCTTCCATTTTACATGAGGGAGATTAAAATCTCCAAGGAGTAAATATTTGGTGTAGGAACTTTGTCTAGCCTATCCAGACAGCTATCTATCTTACTTAAATATCTGGAATTCCTCAGCAGTTGCCGAAGGGTGGTTTTGTTACTAGGATAATTACCAAATTCCTATTTTCAACTTAAATGCCTCGAATTCTACTATAATCTTCATAGAATCAGCACTTCTGGCAACAGAAAGTATCCTTTACATAGATTCCTACTCCTCCCTGAGACCTACTGTATTCTATCAATCTATACATGTTGTAGTTTTCATCTTTATTTCTTCCGTCAAAACATCCATTGTATGTGTTTCTGTTAAATGATCCGAACAGGCATTCGCTTCTGTCAGGAGCCCACTAACCTAACTACTTTTGTCATTTTTATTTATTTCAAACCCCTGTATATTTGCAATATGAACAGGGCAGTGAATTACCATGGGATGTTTTGTCTCGCTTTGTGTTTCTTAGTAACCACTGTGGTGTACTCTACCTGTATGTCCCTGTTGTACACTCCCCTTGTTTCTTTCTCCAGTACGCTTTGCAATTTGTTTGCCTTATTCGGCCTTGAGCCCACCTGTCCTCTCTAACATTCCCCCCGTTTGTCTCTTCCTTTGTTTTTGAATCTTTTCTCTTTTTGTCTAAAAAAAAGAATCCTGTTCAATTTCCCTTTCTCTCTAACTCTGTAGTCCGCGTTCCTTTACATGAGATGGTCACTGGGCAGCGCAGGTCATAAAACATTCCTGGACTGCTTAAGCGTTACACTTACTGGATGGAAGTAACAGTGGAACCCTCCAGCTAACAGTATGGCATCACTACCATTAAATTCCAGGTAACGATACATTTTAATGCAAAAATTTTGCCTCGGCTAACACTATAAAACATGCCCAAAACGCGATTCGTGTTCACAGACGCGTTCCACATGTGGCCTGAGCGCGCCTCAGTTGTCCCGTGGTTGCCAGTGTTTTACAAGCCAGCCAGTGTGGTCGCATCCACACATACAATTCGGAACATTTTCACATATCAACAGCGTTTTTAGTGACTGTAATCACCGCAAAATAATCACATGGGGCCCCGAAAAGCTTCTAGTGCCAACCTGTGATAAAAAGGGTGAGAAATAGTAGGAAATTAACACCCTTTGACTGTTTTTTCGACGTATAAATTCGTCTTACGAGCCAATGTTTCTGACGTATATATACTCAATAATTCTAGCGGCTTCAAATCAAGTGGGAGAAAGCTGGTAGGCCCACAGTAGAGAATGGGGTCTGTGTGTCATGTGCACCACATAAAAAAAAATCCCTGGCAAGCACACATTGCCGTAATAGAAAAAAAAACTCTGATTGTTTTTTTTGGAATTAAAACGCCGACTTTTGAGGTGTATTTCGTATAGTATTTATCGTTGTATTCGCGTTTTCATGGTCTAGTTGATAAAATGGAAAACAATATTACAGAAATAAGATGATTTTCATTATCTTTACGATGTAAACGACCTTGAAACTGAGCTCAAAGTAGCGAAATGTTCGATTTTTACAATGTTCAAGAGTAAAAAATCACACCACACACGTCCAATACACGCCAACTGGGAGTCTAATATTCTTTCACTAGTGCCACTGATATTATTTATACCATTTTTACTATAATGCAGTCGTCTGCATAACAGTAAATTTTGTATTTTTTTTTGTAAAGAATAAAAATCAAAATAGAAAGCAATAATAATATAAGAGGGCCGTAGAGATGTGACTAATGAACAGAGCATATGTTATTTTAGTGCCAACGAATGTCTACCTATTTATTCTGGACCCTATTTTGAAATTGGCATCTTTTTTATTTTGCGTGAAAATTGGCAAATTGCAATTTCTGACCCAATATTGGGTATCCAAGTTATAAATGAGGTTTTCTATGTGCTCAGGCTGTATAGATAAAATGGAGTTCTAAAGAAATAGCTATGGATTTGGGCAACTGGAACAATGGGGGGGGGGGTTAGGGGGGGGGGGGGGTAAAATTGGGCTCAAAGTCGCGAAATCGCCATACGCACATTCGCCGAGACCGCTAACTCGCGGGAGCATAATTCCACGAGTTTTCGACCAAATTTCGAACTTTTGGTGTCATTACATCGGGAAAAGATTCTCTAATCATTTCATAAGAAAAAAAAATTTTTTTTTTTTTCCAAAAATTGAGCGACATAGAAATGACAGTTTCAGATAGGGGCCTGAAACAGTCATTTGGGGGGGTTTTTTGTTGATAAAGGGTTTGGGGCTAACCCAAAGATGCCTATGCCAGTTTGTGGAAATCCATGGTGCCTACTTCAAGATTAAGGAAATGTGGTGCAAAGTGGGTTGAACTGCAAACCTTATGGATTGAAAACACCCTCAACACATCTATTGCAAGCCGTGCTGGTGACTAATACAATTGACAATGTGTGGCCATTTTAGGCAAATCTTAAAGGAACGGGAGGTACAAACCTCTATTGACAGATTTGTTGTGCGACAGAGGTCCAGTGACTCTCAAGCTGGTCCTAGTGGCATTAAAAGAAGAGGGGAAGTAACCCCGGAAAAGGACTTGATACCTTAAGATCATAAAGAAGGGGAATTACCCTTCTAACATTACAACTCCACACTCTCCCCTGCTCCTCCCAACCCATCAATCATCACCAGATCTTCAATAAAGGTAAGTGTCAGTTTGTGTGTATTAAAATTAATATTTCATGTGGTAAAAAAAAAATTTTTTTTTTTTTTTTTTTTTTTTTTCATACTTTGAGGTCTTGCATGAAATAATTTTGATTCTATTATTTACTTATGGGGAAAATTAATTCAGACCAAACTGAGCTTTCAGGAATGGATTAATATCGTTAGCTGATGGTCCACTGTATTTGCACTCTTTGTTGAAACGACACTTTCCCTTCCTCAACATGTTGCCATTTTCTGGTGTGTTTAATCCCACAATCTCTGGCCATATAGGCACATACTCTTTAGCATAGAGTAACTGCAAAATGTTTTCTGACTACCTTATATTTATTGATTCCGTGTCGTTCCTAAGTTCTGCCATCCTGTTCCTGAGTTCCCCCTTGTTACTTTCTTCTAGGCTAATTCTTCCCAATGAAAAAGCAGGTTGCCACAATACACTGTGAGACAACACAGTAAGTGTCCAGGACCCAAGACTGTTCACTGCCTCCCGCAATAAAAGGGGATTACCACACTAGACACCTGAATGTCTGCAATAAGCAACCGACAGGCGCCTTGAGTCAGTACCTGCACAGCCGGGCTGTGGTTCGTATTCGTTGTGTTCTGCCAGCAAGTAACAAGCGTGGTTAATCAACCCTGATCCACCATGAGGCCTGGATCTCAGACCAGGCCACAGGGGCATGACCCCCAAACCCTCTCCTTTAAGCCAGTGTAATAGCCCAGGGCACATATTACCAAGACAGCCTTAATAATAGTACCAGGATAGTGGAATAATATTACCATGATTCCTGATAGCATCATGGTAATATGATAATATTATCATGACAGACTGATAATATCATGCTGTAATGGCCTGACGAAGCTCCTGGAGAGTGAAACACTGCCACAATGAAATGTCACATTAGTTGCACATGTGTCCTTTTATCTAACATTTACAAATCCGGCATAAGCTTCTTTCTCCTATGTGTTGGTTATTTGTGTATTACCTTATTGTATTTTTAATTTCATTAAAGTATTGGGCAAAGTCACCGAGTTATCCTGATGGCAGGTTCAGCGACTTGTTAGAATGTAACTATGGGTTATGCTATGAAATTTAGATTAATGTTAAATTAGGTTAGGCTAGGTTACATTAGGCTAGGTTCAGATTAGTAAGTTTATTCAGGTACAGGTACTGTACATACATAAATTATCATACATAAGAGCATTTGTGTAGATTACCTAGAATAACCCACGAAAGTCGTGACTCAATTTTCCATTGGGGTCTTAGAATTAGGGTAGATTAATTCTTGCTGGTAGTGTTACTAAATTTATATATGGGGGAATTTGTCAAGTAGGAAAATATCAGATTTCTTCTGGCCAGTCGAAGACTTGGAAACATGAGTGAGATCACTGGCACATGCTACAATATTCACTCTTGCGTAAGTATTGTACAACATAACATAGAGAAAGGTTAGTGGTCTAAGCATCTAGTTTGCTAAAATAGAAACCACCTTGAACTGCCTTGCTAGACATATCACAGCAATAAATTTTTAATTCGCAGATTGTGGTTTACATGTGAGGTACAGCCTCTCTTCAGTTAGCGATTACTCATTTATCGATGCACCAAATCGGATTTTATGACGCGCTCTCCGGCCAGTATGCACACCTAAGTAATGTATGTTAGAGCTGATTTCCTCTATTCTGTTCATTACAATATACAGTACACTCCTGTATAAACATTTAAAAATAAACCAGAAATGTTATAAATGGTGCAAAGGTGACATTAAAACAAACAATATTAACCCATAAATGGTCCAAACGTATATATACGTTTTTTCAACATCTGAAAGTATGTAAAAAAAGTAGATCTTCCTTTTGTTTTTTTTACATTTGAAAATGTGTAAAGAAAAAAAAAAACTTTGATCTATTTTTTTTTTTTTTTATATTTGAAAATATGTAAAAAAAACGTAGATCTACTTTTGTAGCACTACACATGTGAACGTAGATCTGCTTGGACCGTTTACGGGTTAAAGATGGTTGACACAAACCCACTACCATCATAATATGCCCCTCACTTAGCGACGAATTTGTTGACCGATGTGGTCTTAAGAATGGAACTCCGTCATTGAGGTGAGGCTGTATATGTTTGTACAGGCGGGCCTCACTTTACAGCACTTCGCCAGTACAGCAGTTTTCAAGGATACCCATTCTTCATTTATTCAGACTTCCTGCATAAATACAGTGGACCCCCACTTAACGATCACCTCCCAATGCGACCAATCATGTAAGTGTATTTATGTAAGTGCATTTGTACGTGTATGTTTGGGGGTCTGAAATGGACTAATCTACTTCACAATATTCCTTATGGGAACAAATTCGGTCAGTACTGGCACCTGAACATACTTCTGGAATGAAAAAATATCGTTAACCGGGGGTCCACTGTATATTCACCACTCACTATAAGCTAAGGATGTAAATATTTTAAGATAAGTAATGTGTGTAGTGTATATTCATTTCTGTTAGGCCTATATTGCTCACCTAATGTATGATAGTGTAAACATGTTATAAGGCTTGTTTCACTTTACATCAATTTTTGCTTTACAGTGGTAGCCTGGACCCTGACCTGCTGTATAAGTGGGACCCTCCTATATAGTAATGTATCTTAACCTGATTCATAAAGAAGTCAGTACTCTATTGCCGGGTAGAGGGTATGTAACGGTGTCTCATGGTTGGTTGGTAACACCTCCTCACACACTGAGTATCCGGGGTTCAGTGCCCTGCCAGGTGGAAATGTTGGATGTTTCCTTACACCTCAGGAGGCCTGGTCACAGACCGGGCCGCGGGGGCGTTGACCCCCGGAACTCTCTCCAGGTAAACTCCAGGTCTCCAGGTAAACACCTGCTGTCCCTGTTCACCTAGCAATAAGTAGTTACCTGGATGTTAGCAGACAGGTGTGGGTGGCTGTTATGCAGGGTTCTGCATGACATTGTAAGGTATATATGGTGGAGAAGTGTGCCATAATAGCATAACTTTATAATTTATAATGTGCATTTGGGGGTACTGTAAAGTACTCTAACTGTAATTATAAAAAAATCCTGCTAGGTATTTATTTTCCAACTGTGTTTAGGTACGCAGGGTAAGCGTGGCTGGGAGGAGTCACGTGGAGTCAGCATGGCATGGAGGCTGGCGTCGGAGATGCTGTGTATTTAAGCTAAGTTTGTAGTTGTGTACTCCTTTTGTTTAGCTAACTTAAGCCATAGGCTCTTCTATGGCTTACCTGTATGCTCACCTAGGCTCTGACATGGTCAGGGTTCGGTGGGATGAGTGAGGAAATAAGAAATGTGGTTGGTATTGGAGTAGTGAAGGCCTGGCGCTGACTAGGCCGAGTGTTATGGTTACTGGACCGCCAGCCGTCTGCTTCTTGTGCCTGTTATGTGGGCGTTTAGGATAGGAGATACATGAAAGTGTTTTCTAGAGCGTGTATATAGTGTTATGTTGAATAAATAGATATATTTTCCTAACTAGGATTTTTTGCCTAACCCTCTATTAACCAACCCATTGAAGTACAAATGATGTTTTAGCACTTTCTGTTTTACTGGGATAGCCCTGGGTGGCCTGTTTATGCTTGAGATGAGTGTAACTTTTACCTTTGCCCTTAGACAAGGCTCTAGTCCCCAGCTATCCCAACTTTCTGCGTAACATGGGGGCCTGTGTATGAGAGAATTATCAAATTTTATGTGGTAATTCAAGTTTGCAACCTGGAAAGTCAATAACCATTCTTGACTGGGTTGGTTAGAGGAAGCATTCACTATAATACTCACACTAAAATAATAATTTACCTTTGTGTGCAATAATGCTGGTTTTTAGGGTATTATTATTAACTAATACCCTGTGCATAATTTACTTTTGTTTGCAATATTGTGTTCTAGGACTAAACAGGGGAACAAGGCAGGAGCTGTGCCTCCCTGTGACCCTTCTGCACACTGTGGTGATGGTTTGGGCCTGTGGAGCCTGTTCATTGAGTCTGACCTGCAGGAGAGTCTGAGCAGTGATGAACCGGCTCAACTGGAACTCGGTTGGAGAAGTGGTCTTGGTGCTGATATGAGAAAAAATCCCCTGACTCTGCAGCAGCTGAGTGAGGCCCAGGAAGGTTGTGACCTCCGGAACGCTGTTCACTTATCAGCTGTTGCGAAGGATGTGGTTTAACCCAAAAGTTTTTTTTGCAGAGTTGGTCCCAAAAGAGCAAGACTTTTTAAGGGGAAACTGTGGCAAGTGGCCGCAGCAGAACTATTAAAGTGTCATTGTCTGTATTTTTTTACAGATTCCGAAGGAACAACAGTTAAGTTTTTAAGAAGGAGAGCTGACTAACCAGTGTTTATTAATAAATTCTTCTAACAGGTTACCAGTGGACATACCCTTTCTGAATAATTTTGTGTGTGTGGTTTTGAGATTTCTGGTGAAACATTTTTGTCTCTTAGGCTTTGCACAAATCACCCAGAAGTCATATTTTATGAAATGTCATGTAGTTTTGAGAGGCCTACTTGAGGTTAAATTTACCAATGTATGTCATCCTAGGAGTCAAAGAAAAGCACAATGGTTTTCCCAGTCTCTCAGGGCAATGCACGTTTGTTTTACCCAGTACCAGAAGGACTGGGATGAGGGAATTCTCCTCCTTTTCATTACCGTGTGGGGAAGCACTCTGGAATCATTAAGTCATGGGCTACGTGAGGATGGTGATGTTTCCCCCGAGGTGCTTTTTCTCAATTTCAGAAACTGCTTGGCTAAGATGAGGTCGATGGCACTAGTGCACCAGCCTGCCAGTCTGCCCAGGATGATGTGGGACCATGAGGTGGTGCTACATATTCTGGAAGCTGGAGAGATGGGATTGGCATTGGAGCCGAGTCCTGGGAAGGCTATGATGGAACTGGGTGGTGGCTTCAAAATGATGGTGGATAAGGTCCCTGAGAAAGATAATGTAAGCAGGAAAATTGTAAGAGATTGTGGAAGATTTGGATCTTCTGAAAGATGGGTTGTAGTGTTGGCTCAGCCATGGTTCACCTTCGTGAAAGAGCTTTGTGATGCTGAGAAATAGGGCCATATTAACCCCCATGAGGTAGAGGTTTTGGAATTTGTGCAACGTCAGCAGGCCTGGCATGATGTAAGCTGGGGTGAAATAGGTTTCTTGAAGGAAGTGAAGTGTTTCTTTCTAGAGACTGTGTTTGTACCCAGCGAGAGTCCATGGACGTTGTCTTTTACTGGTCTCACACTAGGTGATACCTTGAACATGTGCACTGACTGCCGCCAGGTACATTTAAGAAATAAGGTTTTGTCTCCTCTTTATGAACTACATGCAAATTGTGTGAATAAACCATGAGGGGGGGGGTCTTCTGATTCCCATGACCATGTGTGCCAAGGACACACCCATATTTGTAACTTTAATATCTCTGTACATGAACCTTTTGTATGCCATTAACCCTCAAGATCTTTTATGTGTAATCCTGAGTTACCCACCCCGGGTTTTGCAAAACGATAAAGGAGTTGGGGGCAGTCTTGTTGCAGGGTAGAGCAGGGCAAGTAACGCCACTTGGCTGCTTCTCAGCAAAAAGTAACAGTCACCAAAGAAGTTATACCACCATAGAAAAGGAGGCTCTTGCTTTAGTGTTGGCAGTACAACATTTTGAGGTGCATATATCATCATCAGTTCACCCTATAACTGTGTATAGTGACCATATTCCTTTAAGTTTTCTTCACTTAATAAGAAACCACAATCAGTGACTTAAGAGGTGGGCCTTGTTTCTCCAACCTCTTAATCTTGTGATTCATTATATGATGGGAGCGGAGAATGTGGTTGCTGATGCCATGTCTCATGTTTAAAGTGCATGATGTAGTGTATAGATCATGTATGTATTCTTATTTTGCAGTGATTTGCGGTAGACGAGTAGATGGAACCCTGGACCACCCAAAGGAGAAGGGCAGGTTGAGCTGGAGGTATCAGGATTCCGTAGTGTGTGTGTGTTTTGGGGGGCAGTCACATCAAGTGCCATGCCTAGGTAAGGTATGCTACATTTTTTTAGGTGTTGGCTGGAATGCCTTGCCTCTGTTTTATGTTGGTATAGGGACTGTTGGATCTAACGTTTTAGTGAATGTGGGGCTGGCGGTGATGCCCTCCACTGTTTGGGTCATGTCTCTTGATCCGAGGTGTTTTGCTTCTCCAGGACTCTTTTCAATTTTTCCTTTTTGGATCACCGCTGGGGTGACTCCAGGGTCCTTGGAATGACGTGTAGGTGTCGGCCTGGGAGGTCCACCTTTTGTGGGTCTTCAATGATGACTCCAGAGTTTTACGGCCACAGTCCCACCAACACGTTATATGACTATCCACCCGTTGTTTTTGGGGCCTGATATTTTTCCCCCCTCCTGTGTTCTCCTGATTCTCGCAGAGGTGTGTCATGGGGAACCAGTTTTGTTTACTAAAGATTGCTGTGAGATGGGAGTGATAATGCGATGTTGCCTTCTAAGTAGAATTTAACATGTAAAATCTGTTTTTCTTGTTTTTGAACTCCTCCTGGAAAATGTACTTACTGTTTAAAAATTTTTTTTGGTGGCACATACAGTTTGGTCTGCCTTGCAACATACTGAACTTTGGTGTTACTTCATAAAACGACATTCCTCAGGGGCACTTACGTACAAAGTTAACTTGCTCAATTATAAGTTTGCTTGATGTAATTTAGGTAAAATGCATCAACGCCAGTGCCTGGCCAGCGCTGTGTTGTGACGGTGCCTTTTCCTAACACAGTTGTCTAAGAGAGTGACTGTGGACTCGTTTGGCATAGAACTTGATCACTTTTATGTTCGGCGAGTTTCACATGTCTGCAATCTAGTACCTCAGTTTGTTAATATTACATATTTGTAGTATCAAAAGACCGTGATTGTATGGTGGTCATTCCCCTGTTATCATTTTGCCCTTTGCCTCAGACCTTAATGTGGGGTTTATTTTCTTTCTTTTTCCGTTTGCCTAGCGGTGTCCATGTAGATCCTGCTAGCAGAGCGAGACCTTTGGTCTGGGGGTGGGGGTGTTAGGCAGGGTTCTGCATGACATTGTAATATACATATAGTGGAGAAGTGTGCCATAATAGTATGAATGTTATAATTGTAAAGCATAATTTTATAATTTATAATGTGCATTTGGGGGTACTGTAAAGTACTCTAACTGTAATTATAAAAAAATCCTGCTAGGTATTTATTTTCCAAATGTGTTTAGGTACTAGGGTAGCGTGGCTGGGGGGATCACGGGGGTCAGCATGGCATGGGGGCTGGGGTCGAGATCTGTGTATTTTTAAACTAAGTTTGTAGTTTGTGTATCCCTTTTGTTTAGCAACTTTAAACCCAAGGGTCCTTTTATGGCTTACCTGTTGCTCACCCAGGGTCGACATGGTCAGGGGCAGTGGGGGAGTGAGGAAATAAGAAATGTGGTTGGTATTGGGGTATGAAGGCCTGGCGCGACTAGGGCCGGTGTTTTGGGGTTTCTGGGCCGCCAGCCGTCGCTTCTTGTGCCTGTTTTTGTGGGGTTAGGATAGGGGGATACAGAAAGTGTTTTCTAAGTGTGTAAATAGTGTTATGTTTAAAAAAATAGATTTTTTTTCCAACTAGGATTTTTTGCCTAACCCTGTATTAACCCTTTGACGTTTCGGGCCCCTCTCTGAAACTGCATTCTATGTCGCTCAATTTTTAAAAAAAAAAAAAAAAAAAAATTTTTTTCTTATAAATGATAGAGAATCTTTTCCCGATGGTAATGACACCAAAGTTCAAATTTTTGGTCGAAAACTCGGGGAAATTTAAATGCTCCCGCAAGTTAGGGGTCTCGGCAACATACGTATCGGCGATTTGCCGACTTTGAGCCCTTTTTTACCCAAATTTCCCTTTGCCAGTTGACCAAACTCATAGCTTTTTTTTTAGAACTTCCCTTTTTAAACTATCAGCTGAACAAAAAACCTCCCATTTATTAAATTGGACTACCCAATAGGTGGTCAAAAATTTGGAAATTTTGGCCAATTTCACAAAAAATAAAAAAGATCCCAAATTTTCAAAATAGGGTCCAAATAAACAAGGGGAGACATTCGTGGCACAAAAATAACAAGCTCTGTTCATTAGTCACATCTCTGGGCCCCTTTTTATATTTTATTGCTTTCTATTTTGATTTTTATTATACAAAAAAAATCCAAAATTACTTTATGCAACGACTGCTTTAAATTGTAAAATGGTATAAATAATTCAGTGCACTAGGAAAATATTAGACTCCCCCGTTGACGTGATTGGGCGGTGGTGTGATTTATTTACTCTTAACATTGGAAAAAATCGAACATTTCCGCTACTTTGAGCTCAGTTTCAAAACGTCTTTTTTCATCGTAAAAGTAATAAAATCATCTCTATTTCTGTAATGTTTTCCATTTTAACCTAAGCCCATGAAAACGCAATACAACGAAAATAAATATAAAATACACCTCAAAGTCGGCGTTTTTTTCCC